TGTGAGGAAATGGTCCAGAAGTTCGATCCTCGGTGACGACTAATTTTTGCAGTATAGTTTGGCACCCCTAAATTGGCGCCATCGTCGAGAATAGATCGCCTTGTTGTGTTTTGTTGCAATTTGGAGGCGCCAACAAAATTTTGTCATCACGGAGGATCGAACTTGGACCATTTCTTCCCCGCTGTTTTGACATTCCTGGGGCGTTCAGGAAAAATGGACCATGGTTCTGTGTTCCTCACATGAGTCCTTACACTATTCAGAAAACGATTTGAAAAGCGCTCCATGTCCTGAAAGACCCCCCCCCTCCCTTCCTTGTAAGTGCAATCCTCCAGTTGGGGAATTTCAACGTCCGCTCATCGAGGTTATCCTTACGAAAGGACAACTTGATTTCTCTCACAAAGATTATTTTATCAATAGTCCCTTGCCACGACAAGCTTTTATCACCCTTACCAGGACAAGCTCCTTATGCGGCCCAACTGACCTCTCATATCTCGTAGTTGCCGTTCGTGACCTTTATTTTATTGGGTGACTTTATGCTGTGTGTATCGTTCTAATCAGCCGCTGCTGATAGTTCTCGGCTTGTTGAATGTTTGCCAAGAGCCCCTTAATGATAGTACCGTAGGGCTGTCTTTGTTAGTTCCGATGATAAGCGATGCTACTTATCCAAATCCTATTCGCAAAGACCAGAAAAGCCTTTAATGAAATTGTGTTACAGTAACCGATGGATACCCTGCTGAGGGTGGTGACGAATCTCCAAACAAGGAGATTCGAGGAGGATTTCCTCGATCGAGTCAATTATCAGTTCACCGCATACCTCTTCTCCTTCGGCAGCATCATCATCACATCTAAGGTGAAGCCATTTCCATGATATTTTGGGAGGGTTTATGAGACAGACAACCTGCTAATATTGCTTCCATACGGTGACCTGTTTTTCGGGCCAGGATGATGTGTTTTTGGCAACTCTCACGGCTTAGATCGAACTCACCCATGTCGAGCCTGTGCGAAACTGACTTGAAAGAACAGTGTGTTGATCGAATCTCGCTAGTTATTCTTTGGAATATCTTGAGCTAAAAATTTTCTGATACCTTTATTTGCGCTCTTCGGGGTAGTCAG